ATGAAACTCTCTTGTTATAAGAAAAGGGCAACACGATTAATAAATTGATCACTATAAAACCTGTAATAACCAGTATAGACCCGTAATACGTATAATTGCCTGCATAATTCTCATATTTGCTAAACCTTAAAAATTACCTTTATCGGACGTGAGTACCCTGGGTATTTACATATCTCAATCATATATTGTGCTATATATACCATACTTATATACTCTAGATATTCACCGTTCAGCTCTTAAAACTGGTAGAAGATACACGCTTTAAATTACTAAGCATCTTTTAATTGATATAAATATATAACTGTGAAATCGTTAGAGCTATTACCCGGGTCGAAAAATAGCGACCCGGGCGGGTCAGATATTTATCCGGGTCATGACCCGGGTCAAATGGGTCATATAGAAAATCATCAGCATACCGAAAATGCGTACAGGGTTGTGCTCTGGATGATCATGTGATAGTCTCGATGACCACTTGTTGAACAATGTTATAACGTCGTCTTTCCTTTGCACTGCATTTTAGTTACGTACAATTATTTATACATTTATTTGCGCATAACAAGAATATAAAAAGAATTAAATTTATTTGATCTACTAATTCTACTTCAAATTTTTTAACATTAAATCAAACTTGCCTAATAATTACGCAACAAAACATGAATTTATATGATAAGAACAAACTGTATTCTAGGAAATTTATTTATTCGCTAAAGTTCTTTAAATATCTTATTTGTATTTTCGTAAGGAAAAATTTCCTTAGTTCTTTAAATCATCTTCAACATTACTTTATTATCACAAATAAATTATAGCCAACCTTTTCTATAACGAACTGAAAAAACAAAGTTTATTATATGTAGAGAAGTTCACAGAGTCGGTTGTATAAAAAAAAAAGTTTATTAAATTAATTATATATTAAGCTTTTAGTTCTTAAAAAAAAATTTTCATTAAAATTAAATACATAAATCTATTAAATGATTTTTTTTGTTATAAAAAAAGCGTTTTTTTTATTAATATATTCGCAAAAAGAATTTATTGAGAAATTTTTGAATTTCAGAGTAGCCATCCGAACTGACATCCGGAGCGCAACCTTGTACACATTTTCGGTATGCAAATCGTCAAATTTTTAAGTTGCATAACCATTGTACAAAGTTGATGTAACGACTCTGAAAACAATTGAAACTCTAAACAGAAATAATACGCCAAGAAGCATATCATTTATAATCAGGGATTTGTAAAAATTTAGATTTTATCTGTAGAATTTGAAATTTGCATGAATAAAATCCAAATCCTTCCAGGTCTCTGACAGTAAAGTGTAAACCTAAATTGCATCTTTATTATATTTATTGTATGTAAGTCTTTTTTATTAGTTTAAGTGGACGCCTTTGATTTTATCTGTAGAATTTGGAATTTGTATGAATAAAATCCAAAATTTTCCGGATCCCTTATAAACTTAAATCACAATCTATACTATATTTATTAGTATGTTATCAGTTTTGAGTGAATGCCTTTGATTTTATCTGTAGAATTTGGAATTTGTATGAATAAAATCCAAATCCTTCTGGGTCCTTGACAGTAAAGTGTAAACCTAAATCGCATCTTTACTATATTTATTGTATGTAAGTCTTTTTTATCAGTTTAAGTGAACACCTTTGATTTTATCTGTAGAATTTGGAATTTGCATGAATAAAATCCAAAATTTTCCAGGTCCCTTATAAACTTAAATCACAATCTCTACTATATTTATTAGTATGTTATTAGTTTTGAGTGAATGCCTTTGATTTCATCTGTAGAATTTGGAATTTGCATAAATAAAATCCAAATCCTTCTGGGTTTCTAACAGTAAAGTGTAAACCTAAATCGCATCTTTACTATATTTATTGTATGTAAGTCTTTTTTATCAGTTTAAGTGAACGCCTTTGATTTTATCTGTAGAATTTGGAATTTGCATGAATAAAATCTAAAATTTTCCGGGTCCCTTATAAACTTAAATCACAATCTCTACTATATTTATTAATATGTTATCAGTTTTGAGTGAATACCTTTGATTTTATCTATAGAATTTAGAATTTGCATAAATAAAATCCAAATTTTTCCGGGTCCATATTTATTAGTATATTATCAGTTTTGAGTGAATGCCTTTGATTTTATCTGTAGAATTTGGAATTTGCATGAATAAAATCCAAAATTTTCTGTCCCTTATAGTAAAGTGTTTTAAGGGTAAACTAAATCACAATCTTTACTGTATTTATTGTATGTTATCAGTTTTGAGTAAACACCTTTGATTTTATCTGTAGAATTTAGAATTTGCATAAATAAAATCCAAAATTTTCTGGGTCCCTTACAGTAAAGTGTTTTAAGAATAAACTTAAATCGTAATCTCTACTATATTTATTAGTATGTAAGTCTTTTTTAATCAGTTTTAAGTGGACACCTCTGTACGATGCTAGAAATTTTAAAGCACATTTATACAATAGTTAAAGCAAAGTTGTTATTTACGAATTGCGACTGAATTAGATAGGCATAAAAGCATTGGCGCATTATCTAATATCAGCTAGGGCTGATAATTTTATGAGAATTTTTAAAATTATTGCATCGCTTTTACAGAATTGGTCAAAAGAAGAATAACAATTTTAGATTTTTTGCTCTGTAAGTGTGTATATAGAGATCGAATTGGTAAGCATTTCAAGGTTTCTAACACCCAACTTTTGCTTAGATCGCTTGTAGTATTACAACATCCATACTATTATCATTATAAAAAGCTGTTGAAGACTACAGGTTGAATCTTACAAACCTTTTAAAAAAAACCACGACCATTGAACCTACCATCAACATAGAGAAAATAAAATTATATAATGTAAATACTTTAATACAAAAAATAATTTGTTTTGTTGTGAAAAAGTGATTAATCTTATTTTATTTTATAAATTCATTAAAGTTGTGATTTAACTTACCAAGTAAATAAATAATGAACAACGAATATTCAAATGATATGGAGTTAGAACCTGAGAATGTGTTAGAGCCTGATGATGCATTAGAGCTTAAGAATGTGTTAGAGCCTGATAATGCATTAGAGCTTGAGAATGTGTTAGAGCCTAATTATGCGTTAGAATTTGATTATGTGTTAGAGCTTGATGACATTAATTTGGATGAGTTGGAATCTAATGATACGGATGGTAACGAAGCTAATGAAGATTCACTTCAGTTCTCCACATTATTTCAAACTGGCAATCAAATTTTAGCTAAAAAATAAAAAAAAAATGAAAGCCCGGGTGGTAGTCCCGTTAAACTATTTTATGAATCAAAAACGATTAAGAATTCGGATTTTTGGGTTTGTCGGCATAGAGCTTGTACACGGATAAAATATGTAAAGGATAGATCTACTTCAAATCTTTGGCGACATTTGAGAAATAAGCACCATATTTCACGAGATATGGTAGAAAGTGGCCGAGCAAAAGTTGTGATAAAGGAAATAATAAATGTGAATTTTTAGTTACGCCAGAATCTTCACAATCAACATTAATACAAACATATAGTAAAATAAAAAAATATGCAGTTAATAACCCCAAACAAAAAAATCTTGACAATAATATAGTTGCTTTTATAGTCGAAGAACTTCAACCATTTTCAATTATTCAATCACAAGCATTTAAAAGAATAATCGAAGGGCTTGATACTCAAGCCAGTATACTTAGTAAAGATTATCTAAAAGATATTCTTATAAATTCTGAAGATAAGATGTTATGAAACTTTCGTGAATGCGCACTTGATAGTGCTGAAATCAGTTATATTTCATTTACCACTGATATATGGACGTCAAGCAATGGCGATCCATATATTGGACTTACTTTTCACTGGATTAATGATAGTTTTGAAGTAAAAGAAATAATTGATAATATATCATATCTCCCATATCCCCATACCTCCGAATGTCTTTTAAATAAGATCGTTAAAATTTTAGATAGTTTTAAACTTAAGCATATAACTGTTAGCGGTACTGTTGATAACGGGTCAAATATTAAGTCGTGCTTAGAAAAATTAGAAAAAAAATATAATATTTTTAAAATTCATTGTTTTGGTCATACGTTATAACTTGCGATTAATGATGCATTAAAAGAGTGTTTAGAAGTTACTAATTTAATAAAAAGATGTAAAGACGTTGTATCGCATTTTAGCAGAAGTCCAAAGCAAAAACAATTTCTTTTAGAAGTGCAAATGGAGATGGATGACTGGAATAATTTTCTTTTTGTAGTTCACGATGTTTCAACAAGGTGGAACTCGACATTTTATTTATTAAAACGGTTAACAATCCTTAAACCTGCAATATATAGATACAAGTCATTTTTAGTCGAAGTTAATGACAATAGTTCACTAAGAAGCTATGAAGAAAAAGAGCTATCGTCAAACAAATGAGAAAAAGTAGCCGAGTTGGTTAAATTACTGTATCCTTATGAGGTTGTTTCTAAAAAATTATCTGATTTGCAGTATCCAACACTTTCTCAAGCATAGTTTGCAATTAATTTTATTAAAATAAAGCTTGACTATGCAAAAATAAATAATGCTGATATTTGAAAATTTGGAAGTCTTCTTCATGAATCAATTCAGAAACAATTTTTAAAACCAACAAAGCCTATTCGGTTTGCCACTTTTTTTGATCCACGAACCAAGGATATGCAAATATTTACAGAGAATGAAAAGAATCAAACTATTTCAGAAGCGCGCATTGAATACCTTGAATTAGCTGCTAATTATTATGAGTTGAATAAATTATCTGATACAGCATCTAATGATATAATGAATGAAGATATTTTTTCTAATCCAGTCGATAGTTTTCAAGAACATTCAAATTAAAATGATAATAATAATATTACTAACCATCAATTTAATTTATATTTATTACTACCAAGAGTTCCGAGTGAAACAAATATACTTCAGTGGTGGGTATCAAGAAAATCTGATTATCCTATACTTGCAAAACTTGCTCGCAAGTATCTCTCCATTCTAGCCACATCAGTACCATCCGAATGCCTTTTTTCATCCGCAGGTCTGACTATTACTGACAAACAAACATGCCTTAATCCTCAATTTGTTGAATCAATTCTTTTTCTTAAATCAGCTTTAAAACTTTGGCCCGTTTCACATGTGTTTAACTAGGTAATAAAATTTTGATATTAATATTTTAGAATAATTGAATTTAGTAATATAACAGTTATTGAATTAGATAGATAGTTCAGAGTTAAATCAGGTGAACAGGCACTAAAAAATCAAATTATGAAGCACTTACAGGTTAGATAAATCATTAAAATTGAACCATAAATATGATTAAACATTAAAAAAAACATATAACAAAAAAAAATATATAATAATAATAATGAAACACATTTAAATATATTATTAAAAATTTGAACTAATGTGTTTGCATTAAGGATGAGAAAAAACTTACTGTATGATGGACAGATATAAGAAGGCTAAAGATTTAAATAAACATTAGAATCGTGTATATGATTATTAACTTGAACTGAACATTGTGAACGCTTAAATATTGTGAGCACCTAAACGTTGTAAGCACACATATTATTTTTTAAAAAATATTTAAATACTTATTGTTAAATAAATTACAATAGCATTTCCGGGCTAACATTGATGTCCAAATAAAAATGTGTTCTATATATGTATTTGTTGTAAATGAAAAATACATTCTAGTAAATTATAAGGCCATATATTTTCATTATTTTGTGACTGTCGTCTCAACAAGCCATATTTAACGTTTTTTAATATGCAATTCCACCACCTACTCTTCTTTATGATTGCCATCCCAGCAGGCCACATAAATTATGATTGCTCTAACGTGGGTAGGGTGGAAAGATCGATATAACCAGAACGAAAATCGGGTTCATAAAAAAGACAGTTAATTCTCAATATTTTTTGCTTACTAAATATACTATAATCTAATTACCTCATAAATAATCAATTAATTAATTACCTCATACTTACTAAGACTAATAATAATACTTTTATTTACATACCTACGTATGTAGTCAATCGATCGAATATGTGATCGTAACCGGGTCTGCCACATGTTCGATCAGATGACACATGATTCGAGACAGCTATTATTCATAAGTAAATTTATAATTTTAGTAGGTATTTGTCTGTTTTGAATTCTGACCTGTTGACCCGGGTCAAAGCAATTTTCAACCTGTGACCTGTCGGGTCGGGTAACCCGGACGGGTCAGCTGATCTGGGTAATAGCTCTACTTAAAATTTTATCAAAATATGGGTAAAAAAAGTGTTGACCGAAACCAGAGAGCAGTAAAATGGGTGCTAAAAAGTCTAAGAAGTTATATAAACATAAGAAAAGAAAATGTAAAATTTATAAAAGATAGTAACTTTAATATATTATTAATACAACAATAATTTATTATTTAGTGGATGTGAGTTTCATTGCGCAAGCAGTAGTTTAAGCAGTTGCAGCAGTATTTAGTAAGAGAAAAGAAAGAGCAAGATCAACATCGGCCTCAAGCTCTAGTAGCAAAGATAAAAGTGAGGTGGAAGATAAATCAGTTAAAAGAAGAAGAAGTAGATTAGTTAGTAAGAGGAAAGGTAGATTAGGTAATAGAGGTAGTGGTAGGTCAGTTAGTAAGAGTATAAGTAGCAGCACTAGCAGATCAAGTAGCAGTAGCAGCAGTTCAAGTGAGGATGTACCGAAAGTATTGACAAATGAGCAGAGGTCTCACTTATGAGTAAATATTATTTGTCTCATATTTGTGTGTTCATCTGTTTTTTACTTTTATTATTATTATTGTTATTATAATTAATTTACTTTTATTAATGTTATTATAATTAATTTACTTTTATTATTAATATTATTATAATTATTATTACCAAAGGATGAAATTAAAGTATTAATAGAAGGTGGTAATCTATCTGATCTAAAGCCTGATCTGACTAAACAATGAGCTAGTCAATCGCAGGATGTGAGGCAAAAGCTGATTCCGGCTATTACAAAAAAATTACCAGGATATTGGCACTATTCTGGTGCGATTGAAAAAATTTTAAAACAACATCATAAGATGCAGCATCAGACAGCAACAATAAATGCTGATCCAAAATTAAAAGCCTATAATCGCACCAGAATAGGGAAAAATAGTAAGGTGAATGAAGTAAGCATAATAAAATTTGGCATATAAATTATTTTTTAAATCAATTCTAGAGTTACCTGACTAACAAATCATTTATCTAATAAATCAGTAAGAGATTACTGATATATTAGGTAAATAATTTGTTCTTAGCCCACAAATCATTTACCTAATATATCAGTAATCTCTTACTGATTTATCAGGTAAATGATTTGTAAATGAAATATAATAATTTAAATTACTGTATTATAGAAGAGGAAAAGGAGATGAAAACCATTAACGTATTTAATAAAGGCAGAAAATAAAAGCATTAGGAGATATTCACGGGACAACCTGAAGAAATTAACAAGAAGCAAAGGAGGGAATCTCTATCATTCTGATAAAGAGTGAAAGACAGATGAGGATCAGTAGAAGGATGGTGAGAAGGTTAAGAAGTTAGTTTGTATTAACAAATGGTAGTGAGGCCCTAATGTAAGTAAATATTTTACTGGTGCTGAAAAAAAAATAATGTTGATCAATTTTAAAATATTATTTATATATGTTTTTAATTTTTTACTATGTAAAAAATCGTATTATGAGATAAAATTAGCCAGCATTATTTATAATGCTGGCTAATTTAATCTATCTTCTTTATTAAACTATACTGGTATGAATATTATATTAACAGACTATTGTCTTACTTATTTAGTTAAAATGACTATTCTATAAGCGTATTGATTCATTTGTAGAACAACTGTAGCCAAAGAATAATAGAATGCATAAACAGCATTATGAAGGGCAAGTTGATATGACTGGAATGCCACCATCTGATTGCCCAAGATGAGCATTATCAGAAGAAGCTTTAAACCTATTTAACATTTCAGATCCAGAATTTGATGCAGACTTTTTCACTAAAGATGAAGATCCACATAAGAAAAAAAAAGCGAAAAAAAGTGGTAGTGCAGGTGCAAAAAAAAGTAGTAAGGGAAGTAAAAGGAAAGAAAGAGACAACGATAATAGGAAAGAAAAAGACGATGATGATAGGAAAGAAAGAGACGATGATGGTAGAATTATATTATACAAAAGAAGAAGAAGGATGGTAATACTTCACCACTACCTAACATTAGAGATCTTGCTGCTACATAGTTTAATGTTACTATAGTAACAACATCATCCGCACAAACTACAACAGCAACAACAACAGCAGCAGCAACACCAACAGCAATACTAACAACAATATCAACAGCAACACTAATAGCAACACCAACAGCAACAACAATAGCAGCAGCAACAACGATAGCAACAACAATAACACAAACTAAAACAGTAGCAACATCATCAAAAACAGGAGCAAAATCACCTTCAAAAGGTACAAAAGGCCTCCCTATTAATGTTATAACAATATCTGATGAAAATATACCAAGTGAAAGTGTTGGCAGTGATGATAATGGTGAGAAAAGTGATAGTGAGAGTAAAGGTGAAGATGAAGATGAGAATGAGCGTGCAGATAAAAAAAGCAGGTAGGGTAAAAAAAGTAAGAGGAGAGGAAGAAGTGCTGAAAGTAAAAAAAATCAAGAAAAGATCACGAAAGCGATAATGAATATTAATTATAAATTATCATTTAATTATTTTTCAAAATAGAATTTATTTGAAATAATTAAATTTAATAAATATAATATTAGTACATATAATATAAATATCATCTAATGAAATATTAAACAGTAATATATTATATAAAATTTTTATATTATCGGTAAGACTATATTTGTAAATTAATTAGAAAATCAAAAATATCGGCTATATATCCTCTAAAAAAAAATTAACCAATTATTAAGTAATTAGTAAATAATTTAAAATCATAAAAAAATCATTCGAAATATACTTAAAGAAAGTAAGTAATCATAAGTCTATCATCAAGGTAATCATAACTCTATCACTCTAAAAATTAAGCCGATCATCTGATTACTAATAAAACATTTCAATAAATGGGGTAAGTCAGTAGAAATGAGACAAATTTATCTAATAAATTTGTCCTATTTCTATTGACTCAACCCAAATTATAATATCAGCAAAATATCATTTAAAAATTTTACAAATAGCCATTACTATATCAACTAATGATTAAAATAATCTTTAAAAAATTGGTCTCAATCGCTTTTAATAATGATTAATAAATCTAAAATATCATTTAACATCTTTAATACTGATATTTTAATTTTATAATTATCATTCAATATCATGCTAAACATATTTATTACAGTATATTGGTATAATATTGTATAATCTAGACAAAAATTATTTATTAATTAGTCTGTAAAATATCAGCTAACGATTAATTTAATTACCAAACTATCATTAAAAAATCTTAACAAAATCTTCCATATATCTTTTAAATAATATACTAATTATTGTAACGATATTTGAATAATTTTAGATAAAATTAACCAATATGCAACATATTTTTCTAAAATCTTCAGGCTATCTATCGGCTTGTTTTTTTTACTATCAAATCTGTTATAAACTATTATACTATTGGCCTGCTATCATCTAGACCAATTATTTGAAGATATAAGAATGTTATTTTTAATTTCGACCAGTGTTAGAAATAGTATAAATTTATATAATTAATTAGTTAGCAGTTAGGATAAGCATTATTTATAGAGTTTTCAGAAAGGTTAAAGGTTAATTAGAGTTATGTAAAGGGTGGCATTAACAAAAATGGGAGTGGCAATAACAGTTCTCTTATTTTTTTGGTTCTAATTCTATGTTTATAATAGTAACCAACTATTTACAGTATATCACTTAGATTACTAAATAATAAATACTTATTTTTTTAATTTTAATTTTAAGGGTAGAGTATATGTAGATTATTTATTATATGATATGCATAGCAATTTTTTTTTGTGTACCAGATTATATAGTAAACACAAATCTAATTGGGTAATTACCTGTTTTAGAAATATTTTTACTATGTTTTTGTGTAACTCCAGAAAATGTAAGAAATTCTTAAAAACTTTATAATATATATATATATGTTTATTTTTTAAAAATAATATAGCTTTCAAAAGTTTTACTACTATAAATAGAAGATTTGATTTGTATATTACAAAATTTTGGTAAAATTTAGCTGTGGTTTTGAGAATTTTTACTAGTGACATATTTTAATCTATGCATAAAATCTTGTTATACCACTAAGATCATATGATAAATGATCAACATATACTCTACCCTTAATTTTAGTATATTATTAAAGAATTTTAGTAACTATAACCAGTGGTGATCATCACCAATGTATAATTAGCCAATAGATTTGCAGGATCAGATGTAATGTTTGCATAATAATAATAAAAATTTTTTTTTAAAAAATGTCAATAACTCAAGAATTCGCCTATAAAACTACCTTCAATGTTCTAACAAAAAAAATTCCTTGCTAAATTTTGCATATATTTAAATATTTGAATAAGTTTGAAAAATAGCTTGATATTTGGATTTACTTGGGTAAATTTGGATCCAAATTTTTACATATCCCTGGGCTAAGATACATTGACGATCCAAGCATGCTTAAATGTAAACAAATTGGAACTAGTTTTCTCGATAATTACCTGACCAAACTCAATGAAATTTTTTTAATTTTAATTTTATGAATATGTAGGATTAAAATAAAATAAAAAATTCATCGAATTTTGTCAGGTAGTTATCGAGAAACTTCGCTTAATTTTAGAAAGAACTGATTCATCTATCAGTAAATTAAATTTTTTTAAAACTTTGAGAGAAGTTTCTCGATAATTTCCTAACCAAATTGAATGAAAATTTTCCACATTCATATGATTAAAATAAAAATTTTTATCGAATTCGATTAGAAAAACTTCGCTCAAAGTTTTAAAAATTCAACAGTACTTAAATTACTAAGGCTACACAAAGATGATTTTTCGTTTTGCATTAAATGACATTCGAAATTTCGATCGGGGGTCAGATTTTTTTTTTTTTTTAGAAAAAGCATTTTACTTGTTCAGACGATTTCAAGTTCATTAACCTTTAAATCAGTTAAATCATAAGGCATTATAAAACTATATTGAATTTGAACCTATCGGTAACTTACAAAATATAAGAATGACTTGTAATGGCTATGTACTAATCCGTTATCCATTTAAAATTTAAAAATTAGTGCGTATTAATAATTAACTTTCAAACCTTCACTCCTCGAAATAATACAAATTCAATTGGTAAAAATAGGTCAAAAATGGAAACACTAATAGAATAATTTATCTTTATGTTAGAGATTTCTATCAGTATGAAACTAGAAAAGACATTCCTAGAATAGACCCGGAATTTACATATTTATCGTAAAAACTAATTGTGTGTAATTTAAGAAATTATTTGTGCATGGTGTCCAGCAAATTTGTAAACTTTAGGTCCAATGCTAAGTTGAAACTGCTAATTGAGATAATCATTTAGAGCCCATTGTTGTTGTTGATCAAACAAGCAAAAACGATCTACATTATGAGACGGAAACATAATTTTTTAGAACGGTGTAACTGATAATATTCTCTGCGAATGATGGTATAATCTTGCATTCGTTTAAACCAAAATGAAGAATAATTTAATCATTCTTAAATACGGAAAACATTGTTGCATATTATTTTTCCGGATCTTCTTTGTAGTATTAGGCATTATTATCGTTATGTATAATTGATGGCCAAGTGCAATTTTCACATAAACACGATTACCAAAATAGAGGCATTAGATTTTAATATGAATGATGAAAAATTAGAACTTTTTTTTGTTTAAAATACTGTAGTTAACAATATGAAGGGATTATTTAACCGTGTTAATGTGATAATAATACGATGCTGAAATTTGAACCCTATTAAAATCCACATTTACTCATACACTTTTATTATGAACTCTAACCTTAACTTTTAATTAACTCTAAACAAATAAGTTCAAATTTCAGCATCATCAGATAATAATGCTTTAAATAAATTACAAATTTTACATACGCAACTATATTAGATTCAATCAATCAGATTTCATAAAGGGTAACATTCCAAAATGTTTTGATATTGTACTATTTTTCTGGAGTAATTGATTATAACCATTGATTTTTTTTGAATTAAATTCATTAAAACGATTAAAACGATTAAAATAAATATCATTATCTTTGTTTAAAAAAAAATTCAAGTTTTGAAAATTTTGGTCTGCAAGTAATGTAAAATGAAAAATTAACTTTCGCCTAATAGGCGGGACAGATTTTTTCTAAACTTAAGCAAGTTTTCTTGACAACCACCTAACAAATTCGATAGAGGTATAACAATGTATAGAATTAAAATAAAAAAATTTCATGTAATCTGATTAGAA